AAATATATTTTAAACTGCCTTACTATTAAGAAAAAGAGTCCCCATCCCATGCCCCTAAGTTCTTGCAATAGTAGCTTATATCCTTCTCTGAGCAGTGCCAGGGTGGTTGGGAAGAACCAAGCACCTCACAAAAGGAAGACAAGAAAGTGACTGATCCACTTTTTGAGAAAGATCCAGCTCTGTTCAATGTAAGAAATATGGGTAAAAAACTTGTCACAAGTGATGAGGACTAAGCAGCAAGGAGGAAACCTGGTGGCCGAGAACCATGGCTTGGATGTAGATAAGGAATCCCATGCTGATTTCTGGCATTAACAGAACAGCAGGGTCTTGCTGACCTGCAGCCTCTGGAGCCCACAGAAAATCACAGTCTCAGCTTGACCATCCAAAGCCAAGAACTCCCTTCACCCAACATGTGGGAGGAGTTGATGACACATAGCCCAGTCTCTGAGAGTTAATGATACACAACCCAATTTTTTAGGACTGACCACTCCCATCTCTGTAGACCCAAGAAAATCTTAAGGTCTCAGAACCCCCAGTGCAGTATTCCTCCTTAAGCATATGCACCTTCATATTGCTCTATATAAATAAACCTGCCTCATTTCCATATCAGAGCAGCAGCAGCACCCTCTGTGCTCAGCTGCCCACTGCTTCTTTGTGTCCTAATAAACTTCTTCCTTCTCCTACTTACTTTTCTTGGTAAATTCTTTTGCTAACCCATAGCACCAAAAATTCCTAACAAGAAGGACTCAAGGAACCAAAAGTACATCTGATGGCCTCAAGAGACTTGCTGCTCTGCAGAATGATGAAGCTGCATTTAGACCATCCAAATTAATTTCTGAGGTTGTTCAGGACAAAAACTGCCTAAGTTCCATGGTATGGATGTTACCTGTAACGTGTGTTCTACAGTAAAAAAATGGCAGACCATGACTGAAGCTGGTGTTGATTGCAAGACTACCGATGGTTATTTGCTTTGTCTATTATTGTGTTGGTTTTCCTAGAAAATGCAACTATCAGCTACCTGCGACAACCTATGCTCAGCACCAGCAGGTCCCCCAAATCCAGAAGATGACAGAAATCATGACCTTGACCCAAGGGGTGCAGATAATGACCTGAAAGAAGTGGTCAGTAAACTGATTTCAGACAGCATTGGAAAAGCCGTAGAAAAGGCCTACCTACTTATTCTCCTCATGGTGTAAAAATGCTGAAGAAACCCCATTGGAATTGGGAAACTCATGGGGTTTCACAGTGAAGGAAGTAGTTCTGGAAAAGCTACAGGTGACGAGATAGGTGCTAAAGTGTAACGAGCTGATGGATATGGCCACCTGTCCAAGAATCCATTTAAAGCTCAGATTTTAATAGTAACAAACAAAAAAGTCCTATTTTTGAAAAAAAGAAAAAGAATAATAGAATATGAACTATCCATGGCATTTAAGAAATAACTCTTACATTCAGGTAAATTTTTTCTTAAATATCAAATTTAGTTACCCTGAACCTAAAACACCTTCCATGAATCCTGAGAAGGTCATTTGTAGAATCTAAGTGTGAATATCAGTTAAAACACAAGGAGAAATAGCTCAGTGATAGTTCTAGTGTGTGGCTAAGGTGCTCAATTGATTTAGATGTCTTAGGATGGTGAGGTTATTGACCTTCCCCTGGGCAAGACTCCCCTAAGTCAAGCTTTAAAAAGAATCAGCTCAGCATGCAATTAATCTTTCTTATGTGTTTAACTTTTAAAATGGCCAGATTAAGTTCAGCCTCCTTTCAGTGAATAATACAGTGCTGGAATTTTTCTTTTCTTTCTTTCTTCTTTGGCAGTACTGGTGTTTGAACTCAGGGCCTCCTGCTTGCTAGGCAGATGCTCTACCACTTGAGCCATGCCCCCAGCTCTTTTTGCTTTAGTTATTTTTGGGACAGGGTCTCTCATTTATGCCTGTGCCGGGCTGCACCATGGTCCTCCTACTTATGCCTTCCACATAGCTGGGATGACAGGTGTGTACCACAATGCCCAAGTTTGGAACGTTCTCTTTCTGTTGAATCATGCAATCCCACGTTTGACAGTGTCTCATTCCATAACCTTGGGCCAGTCACTTAACCTCTATGTCCAGGTATTGGCACTTAAAATGGAAGATGTTTACATTAACCTGAAGATTCAGGGAAGAATAACTTATTAATGACTTAAAAGCACTCAAGACCTCTAAAGTGCTGTAAAAATCTCTACTACAATAATACATGGGTGGCCTAAGTCAAGCATGATAGTCAATTGTCATTGTGGAAATAAATCGCAGAGGTGCTGTTTTGGTGTTCTGTGAAATTTAAGCCTTGGAGGACGTCCTTCCCCCACCACAAGGTTTTACAAAGGACAAGTACATCAAAGCCAAGTGCACACCTGTGAAATTGCCTCCTACTCAGTTCCCTCTGGGCCTATTATAACAATCTGATGTAATTCAAAAGCTGTCTCTATGTCAAAAGTCTGGAGTCTCTTCATTGCCTTTGGTCTCTTTTTGACAACAAGGTAGAAAGTGAAGTTTGTGCGATGGATCATGTTGGAGTGGAAAATGCTAGGAGCGTGTTTTTGTCTAAAAACTGTATTGGAGTATGTGGGAGATAATCAGGAGATTCATAAACTTTTAAGTATCTGCTTTTTGAAAGACACTCATAAGAAAGTGAACAGACAAGTCACACAGAAAGAAACTATTTTCAAATATATATGTGATAATTGATCCTCAGAATTCAATAAGAAGAAAATGGAACAAACAATCCATAGAAGACAGGGGAAATATTTGAACCGATGCTCCCTCAAACAGAATTGGACAGCAAATAAGTACATGTAAAGATACAAATTACAACTACCTGCAGTGAACTTAACAACCTAGGTTGGGGGGAGGTGAGGAAGAAAATAATCAAATAAATAGAAATGTATTTCAAATCTCAAGGAGATGACTTTTTAAAAAAGTTTTAATTTAAATTTTTTTGGTGGTACTGAGGTTTTGAAGTCAGGGCTTCATGTTTACTAGGTGGGCACACTACCACTCCAGCCCTTTAAATAATATATATTTTTTTGTTAGCATTTTGATTTTTTGCCAGGTGCTGGCCTGGACAGCAATCCTACCTATGCCCCCTGTGTAGCTGGAATTATTGACATATGCGATCATGTTTGACTTGTTGGTTGAGATGGGGTATTGCTAACTTTTTGCCCATAGTGGCCTGGAACCTTGATCCTCCTGATCTCTACTTCCCAAGTATCTGGGATTACAGGTGGGAGCCACCACTCATGACCTCCATGGGGATGACTGCCCAGGTGCTATGGGAGCCTGTGTAGAGACAAGGGATCTTGCTCAGTTGGAGGGAGACAGGGTGGAAGGCCTCTCTCAGGAGTGACATGGTGCTGAAATTGGAGTGGGGAGGGAAGGTGCTGGGGAGGGAGGTTGAAGAGGAAAAGGGCAAGACCATCAAGAAATTAAGAGGAGGGACTGGAGGTGTTGCTCAAGCATTGAGCTCCTGCTTTGTAAGCATGAACCCCTGAGTTCAAATCCTAGTACTGCCAAAAAAAAAGAAAGAAATTACATGGAGTGGATTGAAGGATGCAAAACATGATGCTGATGCTTGGAGAAGAGGGAATGACCTGACACTGGCTGGAGAGTGTTGGCCCTTCCAAGCCTGGGAGAAGAGTTGGAGTGGAGGGCTGGTGCAGTGGATGGTGGACCCTGAACTTGGATGGAATACAATGCCCCGGAAGTGGCAGAACCAAGCCATGGGTGGTGGCTGTGGACCATGGAAGGTTACAATAAGGGACTCTGCTTCCCCAAAATCCCAGTGATAGTGTTAAAGGATTAACACTTGGTGGTTGGTATCATAAGCATGCAGAGCAAGGGGACTCAACACTTTGCAAGGTGCCATATGTAGGTGGCTTGGACCCTTCTCTAGAGCCAAAACACTTACACCCAAATCTCAACTCTCCTAGTCAACAGCTTTGTGCCTAGGATAGTTAACTTTCCTGGGCCTCAGATTCCCCACCTGAACGTGGAATGCACACTATTTCATCAGGTGGCAGGAAGATTAAAATCTGTCAGTACAAGTGACATTCTCAGAAGTGTCTGGGCCACAACACCACATACATGTCAGAAGAGAAATAACAGACAGATATGAAGTCAATTTTCTTTCTCCATGAGCCCTTGAGGTGCTGGTACAAAAGTGGGCCATATTTCCAGCTAACTGAGTTAGTGGGGGGTGGGGGGAGGACAAAAACTTAATGTGGAATATTTTGCCTCAGTTCTGAGGTCATGTCCCTCTCTGGCCATTGGCATGTCCATTACCAATTCCATTCTGCGTCAGACAAAAGGAGGTCCCATAGCTCGGATCTCAGCCCCAGCAGCGCGCTTCATCACAAAGTAAGAGAGGTTCAGGTGTGCTAGCCTGGAAACCAACTCACCCTCACTGCAAATAGCGTCAGGGAACAGACCCCAGGCCTTTGCAATGCTCTGACCTCAAGTTGAGCGATCCAGGGAGGGAGCAAGGCAGGTGGTAGGTAATTCACGACCTAGCTGGACAGCAGGTGAACCTTGGTAGCCCACAGTGACAAAGCAAGTCCCCGCGGCCTCCCTCCCCGGCCGCTGCTTCCCAAAAGATCGCTGGGTCGCAGCGCACGGGACGGGACGGCACCGCGGAATGGGTCGCCCGGCTCGAGCCGCAGAGCTCCGGGTCTCCGGCAGAGGGCGTTGTAGCCGCGGCGGGAGGACCCGGGCTCCGAGCCGCTCCGCCCGAGGTCTCCGCCCGCAGGCTCCGGGCTGCGCGGCCTCCGGGGCTGGGGGGTAATCCCCAGGTGGCACCGGCTCCACGGAGCGGCGCTCACCCCAGGTTCCGCTTTCCGCTCCCGCCCGCCAAGGGCGGCCGAACTCCCCCCCCCCCGCGATGCGCACGCGCAGTCCGGCCGCTGCCCGGCGCTACCACGCGGAGGCGGAGGGCAGAGGGAAGGAGAGCTAGGGGCGAAGGGGACGCCGGGAGACCTGACGGGACGGCGGGGAACGAGGCGCGGCAGAGGGTGGGGGCGGGGGGCTCCGGGTCCCGGGCTGGAGATAGAGGAAGGGGACCGGACACGGGATCGAAGGAACCCGCGGAGCAGGTGGGCCTGGGCGGCCGCCGGGACCCGGGGGACGCCGAGCACCTTGGCCTCTGCAGCCGCCCGGGCTGCGGTGGGGCGGCGGGAGGGGGAGGAGGGCCGTGTTCCAGGCACCGTTGGACGGTCAGGACCTGCCGATCCGAGGGCTGTAGGGTGAGAGCATTGGGGCCAGGTCAAGTCCTCGGCTGGAGGAGCAGCGGGAAGGAAGTGCGGTGGGCTTTGTGAGGAGTAGGTTGGGGACGGTCCCCGAGTCCCGGCCTGCGGAGGTGAAACGGACCAGGGAGGAGAACCGCAGTGTCAGGGCAGAGAGTCCAGGCACAGCCGGGGACGGTAGGGCCCCCAGCGTGCGTTTCCCAAGCAGTGATAAGCGCGAGGGTTAGCCAAGTGGAGGTCACTGTGACCTGGACAGGAGCAGGTGGTGGAGGAGGAGGAGCCTGCAGGCAGCCGGTGTGAACACCTGGGACTTGCGTACTGATTACATTTATGTAGCTCATAGGTGTCCGTAGTGTTCACTGAATGCCTAGGAAAGCTTTTTGTACAAACAAAAAACCAAAAAAACGTGTAGTTTTCCTTCACTGATACTGTATTTACAGGGTTCACAGTGATGCTTTGATATATGCACAGATTGTAGAAAGATTCAATCAAGGTAATTAGCATATCCAGTGCTTCACCTGTTTATTTTTTTGCAATGAGAATATTTAAAGCTTACTCTTAGCAATTTTGAAATATATAGTACATTATCCAGTATGATGACCGTGCTGCACAATAACAAGTCACTGAAACATTCCTCCTAGCTGGAACTCTGTATCTGTTGACATACAACTCCCTTTCCCCATTCCGCCTCTACCTCCAGCCTCTGGTAACTACGGTTCTAATCTCTGCTCCTATGAGCTTGACTTTTTTATAACCTACATGCAAGTGAGACAATGTGTTCTTTGTCTTTCTGTGCCCAGCCTATTTCACTTGTTATGTTGTCCCAAATGATGGCTCTCCCTTCTTTTTAAGGCTCTGTAATATCCGTTACATACATTTACTACATTTTCTTTAGTCCTGTTGATAAACGCCTAGGTTGCTTTTCTATCTTGGCAATTGTGAATAATGCTAAAATTAATGTGCAAGCACAGATACCTCTTCCCCATACTGATTTCAGTTCCTTTAGCTATATGTCCAGGAGGGGATTGTCGGGTTACATGTTAATTCTATTTTTAGTGTTTTTGAGGAATCCCCAAATGGGTACACTAATTACCATTCTTCCTCAGTGTGCCAGGGTTCTTTTCTCTCCATATCCTTAATAACACTTGTCTTTTTTTTTTTTTTTTTTGTCTTTTTTCTTTTTTGGTGCTGGGATCGAACCCAGGGCCTCACGCATGCTAGGCAAGCGCTGTACCACCGAGCTACATCCCAGCCCAACACTTGTCTTTTTGAAAATAACCATTCTAACAGGTGCGAGGTGATAGTTCACTGTGGTTTAATTTGCTTTCCCCAATAGCTTCTTTTGAGAAACATCTGTTCAGGTGATCTGCCCATTTTAAAATTGGGATGTTTCTTTGCTTTTGAGTCCCTTAATATTTTAGAGGTTAGCCTTATCAGATAAATGGTTTGCACATATTTTCTCCCAGTCTGCATTATTGTTTCTTTTGCTGTTCAGAGGCTGTTTAGTTTGATGCAATTTGTTTGTCTCTTTTTTGCCTTTATTGCCTGTATTTTGGGGAATCTATATAAGAAAGTCATTGTCCAGACCAGCGTCATTGTAGCTTTTCATCTGTGTTTTCATCTCATAGTTTTAGTGTCGGTTCTTAGTTTAAGTCATGCATAATACATTTCAGATTGATTCTTGTGTATGGTGTGAGACAATTGTATCAGAATTCTGCGTGTGGCTATTTAGTTTCCTCAGCACTATTTTTTTAGATTTTCCTTTCCGTGTTGTGTGTTGTTGGCATCTTTGTTGAAAATTAATTAACTGTAAATGGGTGGATTTATTTCTGGGATTTTTACCCTGTTCCATTGGTTGATGTGCCTTCTTTTATGCTAGGACCATGTCTTCTTTTTTATTACAGTAGCTTTATTTTGAAATCAAGAGTGTGATTCCTCTGACCTTGCTCTTTTTGCTCAAGATTACTTGGGTAATTTGGAGTCTTTTGGATTTCCATATTAATTTTAGGAATGCCTGTTCTGTTTCCACAAAAATGATATGGGAGCCAGGCATGGTGGTGCATGTCTACAGTCCCCACTTACGGGCAGAGGCAGAAGATTGATATATCAAGGCCAGCCTGTGCTACATAACAAGACCAAGTGTCAAAATAATAACAACAACGAAAACCCTCCAAAACACACAAAAAAATGACATTGGAATTTTGATAGGGGTTTCATTGAATCTATAGATGGCTTTATGAACATTTTAATAATAATTTTTCCAATCCATGAAGGTGGGATATCTGTCCATTTATTTGTGTCTTCACCCTTTTTTTTTTTTGTGGTATGGGAGTTTGAACTCAGTGTCTCACACTTGTTAGCCTCTACTACTTGAGTCACTCCATCAGCCCCTTTTCAAGATAGGGTCTCTGGAACTATTTACACAGATTGGTCTGTAATCTCAGTCTTCCTGATCTCTGCCCCTCAGGTTGCTAGGATCACAGGTGTGAGCCACTGGTGTCTGGCTAATTTCTTTTTGGGGTACTGGAGTTTGAACTCAGAGCCTTGTTCTTAGTAGGCAGGTACCCTATCACTTGAGCCATGTCTTCAGCCCTTTTTGCTTTAATTTTTTGAATGGGGTCTTATGATTATGCTGGGGCCAGCCTGGACCTTAAGCCCTCTATTTCCACTTCCTTGATAGCTGCAATGACCAGTATGTGCCACTGTGACCAGTCTTTATTGGTTGAGATGGAGTGTCAGGAACTATTTGCTCAGGTTGGTCTCAAACCTCTGTCCTCCTGAACTCTACCTCCTGAGTAGCTAGGAATAGAGGTGAGCCATTGGTGCCCAGCTTTTTCTTTCTTTTTTTTTTTTTTTCTTGAAATAGGGTCTTATTCTTTAGCCTCCTCCTGCTTCTGCCTCCAGATTGATTGGGATTACAGGTGTGCACCACCACTCTTCGCCTCCTTTCTTTTTTTAAAAAGAAACTTTATTTTGAAATAATTTTAGGTCTATAGAAATGTTGCAAAAATAGTACACAGAATTCCCATGTACTGTTTACCCAGTTTGCCTTAATGTTACATGCATCTTACCTAACTGGACTATATCACCTACACCAGGGCATTTACTATACACAGACATTTACATATACACCAGTATCAGCCAATTTACAGACATAATTCCAGTTTTTCCTGTTGTCCCACTAACCACATTTTGATTAGCTATCATGTCTCCTTGATTTCCCACCTGGGCCTATCAGAACCCTGATGTTTTTTTGAAGACTACTGGCCAGTTGTGTAGCACAGTGCCACTCAATTTGGGTTTGTCTGCCATTTTCTAGTTGTTAGACTTCAGTAATATCTTTGGGGAAAGTAGCACACAAGTGAAGCTTTGCCCTTTTCGTTCCATCATGTCAGGTGACAGGTGAAGTGCACTTCACAAAAAGCACCAAATACTCTCCTATCCTGACTAAGATGAGGGACTGCTGTCTCTGGATGCAGCATCAGCTTCCCTTCCTCCTGCTTTCTGGATAAGATTCAGTATAACATGCAGGCAAAGTAGCTTATTTCCACAGCAGCCAACTGGGAACAAAGCCCCACTTCCATGAGCCCCTCCCCAACAGGACTGCACAGGAGCCCAAGTCCTGTAATAAGTCTAACGTTCTTACTGAAACAAGTTCTTATTAAATCCTTGCGTGTGCTGGGCAAGTATTCAACCACTGTGCTGTACCTCCAACCCTGGACAAAAGATTTCATATGACATTACCACTGGCAAGTCCTCCGCTCCCTGTCTCCCCCCAAGTGTGTACTGGGTACTGGGGTTTGAACTCAGGGCTTCACTTGCTAGTGCTAGGCAGGTGTACTACTGCTTGAGCCATGCCTGCAGCCTTGTGAATTCTTTTTAACACAAGTACAGGTATTAAATTATATTCTTATATCCCTTTCCCTGTGTCTTTTAAACACTTCTTTTTCCTTCAACATCATGTTCTGGAGATCTCTAGCAGATGAAAAACAACCTTCTCATTAAGATTTTTTTAGATAATAAAAATACATGTGACATAATATTTACCCTCCTAGCCATTTTTAAAGTGCTGTTTGGTGCAGACAATCTCCAGAACTCTTTGCATCTTTAAAACTGAAATTCTGTACCCTTTTTTGTATGTGTGGGGGACAGTATTAGGTATTGAACTTAGGGCCTTGCACTTACTTACCAGTCAGGTGCTCTACCACTGGAGCCTTTCTGCCAGCCTTACACATGTTAGTTTTAAGTATACTTTATGTACAGTAAAATTAACTCCTTTTTTTTTTTTTTTTTTTTTTTTTTTTTAGTGTGGAGTTCTGTATATCTTGATAGAAGAGCCACACAAGTGCTACCACAACCATGGTAATAGGACCCTTCTGTCACCCCACCCCGTCATGTCCTTTTATATTTTCTTCCCACCCCCATAGCTACAAAGGTATTTTCTGTCCCCACAATTTTGTTATTTCCAGAATGTCATAGAAATAGATTTACACATTCTTTCTTTATAGAAGCCATATTGAATATTGTGAATGTGCCCTTTTTTACTGAACTCATCTCCTACAGGTAGACATTTAGATTGTTTCTTAGTCTTTGTTATTAACAAAATAATCTATTGTTATTAGCCACAATAATCTAATATTTGTAGATAAGTCCTTTTGGGTTGTTCCATTGTCTTTCTCTGTGTATGTCCTGAATTCCTCAAGTGTGGATATTTACCAAGTGTGCTTCAAGACACAAGTTTCTTTGACATGATGTCATCTAAATCCTATTTGTTGTCATGGTACACATCTTCCCTGTATAGCTCAGTTCTCAGTTACAAATCACATTGTCATAGGAACTCTACTTTGACCAAAAGATAAGAGAGGTTTTAAAAAGGTTTTTATACCTTTTCAAAAGCAGCAGTTTTCCATGTGGAGTCTCACATTCACCCCTTCCCAAGCTTATAAGGCAGAATCTAGGGTTCACAGGAATCACCTGGAACTAGTTCCCAGGCTTGGTTATGAATACCTGACTCTGGTCTGGGGTGGAGCCTGAGGCTTTGCTCTTCTCACGAGATCTCAGATGCTGCCTGTCTGACACCCTACTCTGAGAACCACTGCACACATCTGAGGAACACTTGAGAACAGCACAAACTGAAAACAGCCAGTTTACAAGCAAATATCATGACGATCTCTTAAGAGTATTTGTATTAGTTACTTTTGTGACTCTGTGACCAAATACTTGGCACATACAACTTATGGGGGTGTCTTTTATTTTGCTCATAGTTCCAGAGGGTTCAGTCCATGTCATTTGACTCTGTGTATGGGCCAGTGGGGAGAAAGAGCATCATGGTGGCAGGAGCAAGTGGAGGAGGAGGCTTTTCCCCTCATGGCAGACAGGAAGCAGAGCCAGCCATAACAGGAAGGGGCCAGGACAAGATCTAGCATCTTGTAGGTCATGTCCCAGTGACCCACTTCCTCAAACGGGCCCTATCTTCCACAGTTCCACCACCTCCTGATTGTCTATTCAAATTTTAAATCCTTTATTGGATTAATCTGAGGCAGGACAGATGGGGAAGATGAGGCATGGGAAAGGAGGGAGGATTCAGAGACAAACACTGCATTAATGACTAGTTTGGTTAAAAGCATACATACATTGCTTTCTTTGCTTTAAGCTTCTTCTTTGCTTTAAGCTTCACACTTCCTCATTAAACTGCAATACATAGTAACATACAGCAGACCTTGCCCACTTGCCCAAATAATTAGTAGACTCTGGGAGCTGAGCAAGGATATCTTAAAGAAAAACAATTATCTTGAGAAAAAGACATTTAGTAAAATCACTCCTTTGATCACAGAAGTGTTTGTAAAAAAGAAAAAAAAAACTTAAGAAAGGACACCTGGCATACAAGGAGTAGAAACCCATCGTTTGTTTAAAGGGACACTAGGGAAAACGGACATGTGTGTCACAATGACCCAAATTTAGTACCCTAATCTGACTTGAAACCTCTGGGCCCAATTGATAATGTCAAAACTGTGCAATAGCAAGAATGATAGAATGTACCGGTTGTTCGGAATAAAGAGAAACACTTATCCTAAGATGTATTTTAAGCCAAACCCCTCACCTACTTTTTCATCATAAATACCCGTGATGTTAGAGTACTCATTTCATTTATCACATGTGCCTGCACCCATTTCTGGGTTGTGTACTATTCTTTCTTTGCTTTACTAATAAGCTTTCTTGGTCTCTACCTCAGTGTGTCTTAAAATTCTTTTTTGTGACATTGTCATGAGTCCAGGGTATCCAAGGGCCAGGTAGAGGCCTCCTCCCTTTTGGAGACTTCCCTGGAGCCCCATGGGTTCTTTTTGTTTTATCTTTTTTCTTAGTGGTACTGGGGCTTGAACTCAGGGCCTCAAGCTTGCTAGGCTTTGCGAGGCAGGCGTTCTATCACTTGAGCCACTCCACCAGCCTGCCCCATGGGTTCTTGATAACAAAACCATTGCTTAGGTCAGGATGCTGTTGATCCAGAACTTCCTCACAGACACCCAGAGGTGTGCTTCCTAATTTCCTAGGCTCCTGTCAGTCTAGCCAAGTAGGCACTTGAGACCAATAATCAGTAGTAATCCTATCTGTACACACAGTCCCTGACTGGTGATGATTCCATTTACAATTTTTCAGCTTTACCATAGTGCTATTTTTTTTTTCACTTTTAGTACAGTGTTCAATAAATCACATGAGCTGGTCAACACTTTGTTAAAAAATACTTACATTAGATGATTTTGGCCAGCTATGGAATAATGTAGATGGTCTGAGCACATTTAAGGCAGGCTTTGCTAAGCTATGATCAGCAGGTAAGGTATATTAAATGCATTTTTGATTAGTATTTTCAACTTAGTATGAGTTTATCAGGACATTACCCCATTATAAATCGGGGGGCAGTGATTTATGTGTATGTTCCTGTAAGAATGGCTCTAACAAGGCATAGATACATGCGTGTGTATGCACATTTGAATATTTTATGATCGTTTCTGTTTTGTGACTTTTCTAAAGCATACCCGGAGAATTAATACTTCAAGGAAAACCTGATGCAACCTCTCCAGGTTGTCCGGAGCAGACTGATTTCCCAGCTTTGTTGTGGACTGAAGACTTCAGGGTCCCCCCAAAGCAAGATTTGCCTAGCAATGGCTCGTCCAAGCTCATGTAAGTCATTAGTATGCCATCTCATCTCCAGTGAACTTTCTTACAGTCCCAGGGGAATGTCTGCAGGGAAGCAGGTGCCTGGTAAGGCTTTGGGGAAAGCCACCCTGCTCTTATAGGCAAGTCCTTTCTCTCAGAGTTTCTCTCAATATTCATGTCTATTTAGGATATTTTGTTGCTTCTCCAAGAGTGTTTGCATTTAAGCCTTTGACATATGATTTGTTGTTTTGTTTTTCTGAAGTGCTGAGAATCAAACCCAGGACCTTGCACGTGCTAAACAAGTATTCTTTTACTGAGCCACACCTCTAGACCCAGAAAAATATGTTTTGGTTTTTTTTTAAAGAGTTCACGCCACATTAGCATTCACATCCTGTTTTCCATGAACCAAAACTAGTTTGACTTTTTTTTCTAAATTGCGGTACTGGGATTTGAACTCAGGGTCTCTCACTTGCCAAGTAGGTGCTCTACCACTTAAACCACTCTGCCAGCACCTAGGTTAGCTTTTTATTTGTTTATAGCAGTTGCTTAACATGGTTTCTTAATAGCAGTCACTCTGACTGAGGAATATATTTGTCAGAAGATGACAGTTTCCCTGTGGGGATAGAAAAAAATGCCTATAGGCTAGGGATGGTGTAAGGGGTAAACTTTGACGTCCTTAGGGATGTTTGTAGGGGTTGGGCCCAAGATTCATACAAGTAGTTCCTAGAGAAGTGCTTGGACATTTTCTTGTATTAACATTCTCATGCCTTGTTCTTCCAGGAGATTAGATCTGATTAAAAATGAATCCAGCCTGGTGTTGTGGTGCACACCTGTGATCCCAGCACTTGGGAGGCTAAGATAGGAGAATATTGAGTTAGATGCCAGCTTGGGCTACACAGTGAGATCTTGTCTTAAAAAAAACAAGGGCTGGGTAGATAACCCAGTGGTAGAGAGCTTTAGTGTGCTCAGGGTCCTGGGTTTGAGCTCTAGAACCAAAAAAAGCAAGGAAGAGGGGGGAGGGGATGGAGGAAGGAAGAAGGGGAGAGAGGAAAGGACTCTAATTCACCCAGAATGGCTTTCTTCCAAATCCCTCCTGGTTAGACAGCTTTAGCGGCCTCCCCACCCCATCCACATGAGTCTGTCTTTGAAAGAGCAGGAGGCCAGCAGGGCTTTAGCATAATTGCCACCATAGTTGGGTTGGTCACACCTGGAGATTGCAATGTCTCTGACCAGTTCTTTGAGCCTGGCCCTGCTAGGAGTGTGGCTGAGAGAGCTCCAGGAGTATAGCTGGAGATGGGTTGGTGCTCTCTGCTTCTTTGCCTTTGAGAATCCACTTTGCCTGCTGTTCACTTTTCCCAGGCAGAACAGCCTCGTTGCTTCTTTTCTCTATTCTTTAGAACCTTGCTTCTTTTCTATTCTTTAAAGTCTCTTTCCTTAGTCTCACTCTGTCCCATGTTCCCTTTAATCTCTCTAAAAGTCTTGGCCCTCAGACTCACAGACACATAACAACAGCCAGCAGCAGCAGCAGCAGCTAGCCACATCATTCAGCGGCAGTCCCCTTGCAGGCTGCCCTGGCCATAGCTTACACTTCTTGCAAGCAGCCAACCAATCAATCCCCTTAACCAATCAATCAATCCAATCCAAAATCCCCCATACTCCTTCAGCAAGTCTTTTATATACAGTGGTAAACAAGGAGGTGGAGTAACAGTTCTCTGGTGAGGGGCATGGCATTGAAACAAGTGAAACCTGCTCTCTCTGAATGTAAACAACTTAGGAAAAGTAGCTGGCTGCATTTTGACTTTGCCTCTTCTGTGACTGGGGCCATTGCCAAACTCAGCCTGCAGTTTATTTGACACAGCTGTGCTTATGTCAAGTTCTCATAGGCTTCTCATAATCTGCTCCCTACAATTCCCTTTAATACTCAAGTTCGCTGTGTCTGAACCCCTGTGCCGCTGTCTCCCTCCCTTGATGCCATTCCACCTGTTATTCATTCCCTCTCACAGGGAGCACTTATTAGGTTAATAAGTGTTATCTCAGAGGGGAAGACCAGGAAGCCTGTTCAGTCAGCTGAGGACTTCAGTTCCACTTTTTTTGCTGAAATCTGAAGTGCTTCAACTCAGGTTGACCATTCCTGGGAGACTGTCATGTCTGGGACACACTTTGTTCCAGTGGGTTAGGCCTGCCATGGGAAATGCTAGGCCTACTTGTGCTTCTCCAGGAACAAGGGACGAAGGAGGAGTCTTTCTTGTCCTCCTGGAAGCTTATGCCCAGGTCTGGATCCTTTAGTCCTGGCCTTAACTGCACACAGTGGCCTGCCTGGCTACAGTCCCTGGGAGTGAAGAACTGGTTCAGCCACAGGCCATGCCCTGGCCTCCATCTCTTTCCCGTCTCTGCTGCTCAGAGGGACAACAGCAGCTCCCCCATCACCAGCTTTAGGTCTGGCTTCTGTGACTTGTCCTGGAATGAGGACATTTGTTTTGGGGAAATGCCTCCTGTGACCCACATAAAGTGCTGGTGTTGAGTCTGATACAGAGGCTTTGGTGACTACAGCAGCCAGCGGCTGCCCTGCTGGCTGAGATCCGGCAGGAGGGCTGTCTAGAAGTGTAGGACAGGAAGGCAGGTCACTGTCTGACCAAGACTACCTCTGCCTCCTAGATTAGCTAGGATTATAGGTGTGGACCACATGGTGCCTGACTCAGCTTCCTTCTTGGGTCTGAGTCTGGTAGAATCTTGTGGAGAAGCTTGACTGTTGTTTGAGCTGAAAGAGAAAGTCATATGTACATGTTTGGGGCAGAATGTTCACAACGAGGGAGCCTTTGTCCTGACCTTTGGTCACTGAGCTGAGAGAAGCTGAAATTAGCATGATCCCCACAGGGAGGGTGAAGTTAGGAGGAACTTTAGGATCCTCACAAGCTGGTTTTGACTTTTTTTGGGAGGGGAAGAGTGGTTCTGGGATTTGAACTCTGGGTCTTGAGCTTGCCTAGCATTTGAGCCATGGCCCCCTCTCTTCTTTCTTTAGTTTTTTTTCAGATAGGGTTTTGTACTTTTTTTGTGTGTAGGGCTGGCTTCAGATGGTGATCCTCCTACTTTTGCCTCCATGTATGACATAGTTTCTCACTACCTTTTTTTGCCTGGGCTGTATTGAACTGAATCCTCCCATCTCTGCCTCCTATTGTTTTGGCTTTTATGAAGGAAGATGGATCCTATTCATCAGCCTCTTAAAATCTGCATAGCAGCTCTGCTCTAAGGAAGGCACATTGTGCATGTATCAAACAGCCAAGGAAACCTACCACAGTGAAGAGTAAATGATCTCATTAGCTCATTCAGTTGGTGGGAGGTGGAGCTGGGATTCCAAGCCAGGTGGTGCTCAGGACCCTGCTTCCTTAAGATACCTGCACTCACCCATCAGACACCAGTTGGTGTCTTCAGAGTACAGGAACAACTTTTGTTATGGTATTCTAAAGTATGATTTCATACAAGGTCAAGCTTCAAAGTATAAACAACTGATATGGGATGTAAGTGTTCAAGTGTTACACTGGATTGATACAGATCTTATTCTCTGTTTAGCTATGGCAGATTTTCGGAAGTGTTTTGCAAATGCTAAGCACATAGCCATCATTTCGGGGGCTGGCGTTAGTGCCGAAAGTGGGGTTCCAACTTTCAGAGGAGATGGAGGTTATTGGAGAAAATGGCAAGCTCAGGTTAGTAATGTTTCCAGAACATTCAAAGGCTCTTCTGAATGAAGCCCTAACAGAGGTTAGTGGGGCACCTAACCATGACACAGAAGCCACACTTCCTCTTGAAATTAGCATAATGGAGGCAGCACTTACACAGAATGGAATACACACACGTATGCTGCATGCATATTTTGCTGAGTTTTGAAAGGTGTATGCACCCAAGTTAACACCACTATCTCCAATGGAGATCATTTCTGTCACTGGGAGGGGTTGTGCCCTTCTGCACTGGCCTTTCATCACCATTTGTCTCTCCTGATATTTTATGCATTCTGTTATATGATATATACCATTTGTAGTGTAGCTGTGCATGTACATGTAGTTGTGTGTGCATATGTGTAGTTTGCATGTAAATAGTATAGTTGAATGTATACTATAATTGAGTATGTATTTGTGGATGTTGTGTGTGATTATGTATATGTACATATATATATAATGCTTGTGCCAGTTGTGTGTTGTATATAGGTATGTATAGTTGTGTGTGTTTTTATGTGTGTGTAAGCATAGCTCTAGTTATAGTTGTAATTATAAAAACTGAGTTTCTTAACTTTGACAATTAAACCTCCATCAGGCATTTTGTATTTCATGTTTTTCCTGGGTATATGTCAAAATGAGATTGACTTCATGTATTTTGGGGCTCTGTGAAAAACAGCCCAAAATACCTTCACATAGAGCTTCACTTCCTGTCCCTAACTTACTGCAGGAGTGAGTGGGACCCTGGCCATGTCACTGGGGATATTAAGACTGCTGTCTCCCAGGACTGGGTCCCTCCCTGACCTCCACCTCCTTTGCCACCCAGGACCTGGCAACTCCACAGGCTTTTGCCCGCAACCCGTCACGGGTTTGGGAGTTCTACCACTACCGGCGGGAAGTCTTGCACAGCAAGGAGCCCAACCCTGCCCACCTCGCCATCGCCGAGTGCGAGGCCCGGCTGCGCACTCAGGGCCGACGTGTCGTGGTCATCACCCAGAACATTGATGAGCTGCACAGAAAGGCTGGCACCAAGAACCTTCTGGAAATCCATGGTGAGGGGATCCAGGCTTTGAATGCATGTTCTTTCACTGTGACCATGGAAGACACCTGTCCTTTCCCCAGGATGCTGTGCATCTTGCTCTGTGCCCTGTGGTGCCTTTGGCTAGTAATGCCACTAGCATTACTCACTTGTCAGTTCCTGCATTCTGCCTGCCAGTGTGGACTGACAGCCAGCGCCAGCATCCCCTGGGTGTGTGTTAGACAGGAGAAGGGATCTCAGCCCCACCTGGAGCTTGGTTTCTCCAAGCCCCTGGGGCACGGTGTCTGGTCTGCACCGTGTCTTGTGTGAGGCCCTGTCTGCACAGCCCTGTGCCCTCCTTAGCCTTTAGTGGAAGGGGCTGTGCTGTGACACACCTGTCCTGTCAGCCAACAGGAAACAGGGCCTGGGCCATGGGTCAGCTGGATCCTGTGTGGGAGGTCTTCAACATCCTGGGGGGCGGTCATTTACTTTCTCTCTGTCTCCTATGGTAATGCTCTACCCTGGAGCCCGAGGGAGCATCAACTCAATGTCCTTTGCTATAACATCCTTGGAGTTTGTCCTGGTCCCTGTGGCTTCCCTTCTCCATTGTGGATGACAGCTACCCTTGCCCTCTGTCCTCTCATTCCTGTTCCCTCTTTGTTGTCCTGGAAACCTAAGGCATTTATTCACAGAGTATAATAGGTGGAGGAGGATTTTCTCCCTGGGACTTTTGCACTTAAGACCACAAAACCGCAAACCCATTTCCACACAGAAGCCAAGAAACAGCACAGCTGGGGCATGTTTCTGTGGATGTGTAGCCAAGCACCTGCCTTTGACCAGGCTTAGGGGTCACCTGATGAGAAAAACTGGGCACTGCTTACTTGGGTCCCCTCTCTTTTGTGCCTCAGGAACAGTCTGATACCTTATTAATCCTCATTTCTCTGAGGTGTCAGCCTTATTGCTTGTCATGTGTAACACGGAGATTTGACCGCCTATCTTAGTTCATTGAAAGATTTGGCTAAGGTCATATGTGTGTATTGGTCTGTTTTGGTTGCAAATGGCAAGAACTTTCTTCCAATTTAGGTAAAAATAAAAGGAACTCCTTCATTTCATCAAACTGAAGATGCTATCAGTTTTAAGATATATCAATGCCTGTGTGTGCTGGCACGTGCCTGTAGTCCCAGCTACTTGGGAGGCTGAGGCAAGAGGATTGCTTGAGCCCAGGAGTTGGGGCCCAGCCTGGGCAACATAGTAAGACCCTGTCTCAAAAACAGGGAAAAAAAGAGAGAGAGACATCATGTTCTTATGTGACACTTAAAAGAAAATCTTTATAAGCCATATTAATCTATTTTATTATCTTTTAGATCTGTTATTTTATACTTATAGCTCTTTTTTTTTTTTTTTTTGTGGTACTGGGGTTTGAACTCAGGGCCTCAGGCTTGCTAGGCAAGCGCTCTACCAATTGAGCCACTCCTCCAGCCCTCGTTATTGTATATTTATAAAGAGAGCTTGATAAAACTTATTTATGTAAGCTACAAACACAAAGGTGAATGTATAAGGAGATGGAAATGCTGATTGCCCTGATCTGATCATTACGTGCTGTATGCATGCATTAAGTTCCTGTGCTGTACCTCATAAGCATACAGAATTATGCATCAACTAAAACATTTAAAAGTATATTTAGACATAGATTGTTGGAGACTATACCATTCCTGTGCATACATAAAATATAAGCAAACTTACTATCTAGCTCTTCTAAGTGACCTCCCAGTGACTCAGAGTATTGGTCTCTGTGTTGGGGGATTGATGAGGGTTTAGACAACTAGGACTCGTTCTCCTTCTTGAATGCCCTTCAATGGTGTGTTGGCTAAAATTCCCAGGAGTTGCATTTGTTCAGCCAGGCCACTGAGTTAACAGCTTGTTCCATTTTTCAGAGATCAGTGTTATCCTTCAAGTCTGTGCAGCTATGGCACACCTGTCACCTGGCCAGTAACAAGTGTAGGACACATCTGAATTCGAGAGATGTAACAAGGGGAAATGTCCACACTGAAATTGACAGAATAGGTCTGTTAGCTCATGACACGACAGAGCCCTGGGGCGGAGCTGAGGTCAACCAAGCTGCCTTTCCTTTTCCTCTCCACTTCCCTCCCGCTCCTTCTCAGCTTTGCTTACTCTTTGTATTGCCCTCCATTCTTCCTATGCAGTCGATCTGCCTTCGTGGGCCAGGAAAGAAGCTTCTGGTAGCTCCAGAAAAGAAACCTCTGGCGGGGGTC